AACGGGTTTCCCTTATCCGCGCAAAGTGTACAGTGGTTATAATGGGCGTTCATAGTGTTATCTCGGAGTTGTGCATTTTCATATCATTTCCCACTGGGGAGGGAAGTTTGCACACAATGAACGTTATGCGTGCACGCAGCCAACTTACTTTAATGGCCTTTTGTTCTTTACTGAACACAGTTCTAAGCTCGTACAGTCACAGCTTTGACCTTTAAAATATAGTTGAAATAGCAGCTTTGACCTGATATAGGTGAAAAAGATCTTATAACAATCGTCGTTATTGCATAACTTGTCCATGTATTGTATGAGATTTTTCGCAACATCGTACTTAATAAAACAATTGAATAATCTTATCGGATTCGCACGTGAAATTGCCTATAATATTTTAGTAGGCAGTGTCTATCCAGTGTTTAGGGTGTGGAATGATAATCAAATGTCGCGAATTTGGATTATAGTCAGAGGTTCCCGATAATTTATTTTATTTTTTTATTTTATGCGAAAAGTTGTCAAACGAGCAGACGGTTCACCTGATGTTAAGTGAATACCGCCACCGCCGCCCATGGACATCTGCCACACCCGAGGTTTACAGATGCGTTGACAACCTTTTGAAAATTGGGCTCCGGCTACCTCACTCACCAGACGAACCGTGAAAGTATTTGTCATACTTCCACTTTACGCTGGTCTTCTGTGAGGTCGTGGTACTTACCCGGACGGGCCTGCCCATTACTCTCAATGGCAGGCCCGTCCGGACTCCCAATACTCAATACAAACAACGTCACCTCAATAAACGCTAACAGCGGCTTATTCGTAACAGTCGCCTCGCAGCAATTCCCCGTCTTCTTATCTCCTGCGCCCCTGGTAGCGGTGCGGCGTGACGCGGGGTTATTTACGCGCCGGCGCCGCCCCTAATCCCCTGTTTATTCCCCGGGACGTATCCGAAAATTAGGGATCACATCCGAGCAGAGATCCCGGCAGGGTATAATTTGCGGGATCGCGTCCCGGCGCGCAGTAAAACTCGGATGGCGCGATAAAATGAGCACAATATATGCAGATACGTCGCGGAATACACTGATTACGCTCAGGTATCCCGGCTTTCGTTGCTAGACCGTATTATCCTGGAATCGTATTAAGAATACACTCTGCTTTACTTTACATAGCCATGCGCTCAGTTTAATATACGTTAATTACTATTTGCGTTAGGCGTCGGCTTAAAATTTAATCTTGTTGTTAGTAAGTTTCTATTTAAAGGCCATTCGTGGGTCTAGCATTTTGTAATCAAACGTAATTGGTGGCTTGTCTTGAAAATTTGTATCTACATGTCTACGTAAATATAGTCTGCGTATGAAACGAAGTAATTTTATTCAACATGTTTAAATAAAATTACTTTGTTTCATACGCATACGTGTGCTTCAAGTAAGCATTAAACATTATTGAGCCTCCCAATTCTCTAGTTGATGTCTATTTATTTTTTGTAAAAGTGCTTATTATATTAATGAGTAATAAAAGAGATATTTATATGTGAAAAGGTAGCAAGCGATTAGCCGTTATGATGTTAACAGGCACTTGATGTTAATTGATTACCACCGCCCTTTGACAATTACGACACCATGTACCCGTAGAGTACAACTCTAGAGTACGTGAATCTTGTATTATCTGATGTTTTTGCTTTCAGTCCCGAGACTATTAAAGCTTCATCTGAGGCAGAACCGGTGGGCTAGCCAGAACCCTCGGGTTTGGGAGAGTACGAGAAGTTGAAGTGTTACTCTTTTGCGTTGCGTCTGTTGGGGCCGGGCCCACTTTATTAAAGGGTGGCAACGCATCTGCAACCCTAGGGGTGTTGCAAATGTCCATGGGCGGCGGTTATTTCTTAACATCAGGTGAACCGCCAGATCATTTGCCACTTTGTCACATAAAAAAATTATAGCCCCGTATCACCCTTGAGGAAGAGGTTGCATTGACTCTTCTACTTATTAAGTATAATTATATAATATTTCAAGACTTCTTTTCTTCCTGATTAAACACAATATCTGTTTAATTCTAGTAATTATATGAATAGGTAATTTATGAAAATTATATTTTAGTGCTAGTTCCTGCATGTAAGATAAAACTTAAAATGTGAATGTTTAGCCAAAAACTTTCGGTACTGCAGAGTTCGAACTTGTCGTCGATATTAGCGACAAGACTAGAAGCCGACAGGCCTTGGAATTTTGAAATTCAAAAATAGAACAACTGAGTACTTTTTATACCGAAAATTGCCTGCCAGTGCAATTAACACAGCAAAGTTCATTCATTAATAGGCAAAATAAAAGTTCGCCACAAACGTGACCGCCGAAAGTTCCAATTTTAAATCTCATTTTGAAGATAAAATTACATTGGATAATCGCGACGACATTGCGATATTTAATGCGTCGATAATAACTGGCAATAGTGTGCGTGGACACACAGATTAAATATTTATCCGTCGACCGCGGACGTTTGACACGCTTTGTTAACTGTAACAACACCGAACAATGCGAGGCGTAATAGCACGTTCAAAGTTTAACATATCATTTAGCGAAATCGCCCTCTAACAGCATTCGAATGGCCTGCGCTAAACAAAGTTCATGACTGCACCGGATTTCCCTTTGCCATTTCGCTCAAAAGAGTTTCGCCGTAACTAGAAGGAGCGCAATTAACTTCCTCTCTTTTTTGCGTTTTTCGCAAAAAACATCAACCGAGTTTTCGCGGCACTGGTAGGAAATCCGGGGCTAAACTCCTTTCGTTCTTTTAGCGTTTTACATAAATTGTTTACCGACATTTAAAAACGGGGGAATGCAATTCCCCGGAATTGCTTTACATGCTAATTTCAAAGTGCCCCCGCGTGTGCTTCTGTGATAATTTTCTTTTTGTTCGCGCTAACAGCGTATAGCCGACTAAGCGATGGAGGAACGGATTCATTTCAATTTGCCGTTCTCCTTATTTATTTAATTCCCATATTCTCTCGACATGAAATGCTTGTACACGATAAATTTTCACCAATCGTACTTTTCTAAAATTTGGTTTCTCTAATGTTTGATAGTTTGTTCACTTACACTTCAAGTAAAACTATCAACAGGATAAGGACACTGGACCTTCAAATTATTTGTCTAATACTGTTTCCGTTTTAAAAAGCATACTTGTTCTTCCCTAAGTATATACTGCCTCCACATTAAGTCTAAAAGGAATCCGCCAGCACTGTCTAAGTTAGCTTCGACGCCATCGATAAATCGCCGAAGGGAAACCGATGTACACTTTACCGGGCAGTTGGCAACGAACGGAGTGCAAGACAATAGGCTCTCCAAGACGGGTCTGCCAAAGGGCGTGACCTTTGTCACGAGGACCTGAGCGCCGACCCTGTGGTTAGACGACACTTTCAAAGTACCCTCCATTAGCCCCGTTAGTCATTTGAATAAGACGTACATTACTATATATTTCAAACATTAAAAATAAACATTTACGCCTTCCACCCAAGGGGCTAAACGGATTTCAACGATGGCTATCCGTTGACATCAGCTTTTAATACGTTCTTATTATTGATTATTATCATTTATAACTCCATGAAAATAAAATAAAATGTCTCTTCATTGTAATACAATAGTTTCTCACCCATCACAGCCAGAATTTTCCGATATTTAGTGCTGAAAACGACCTTGGACTAGCGTAGTTTTATGTTATAATATTCTATAGTTGTCATATGTAATTAAATCTCAAACAGTCGATCAGCTATCTTGACAAATAACGCTATTACTTATTTTTGCCAATTATTTATGCGTTAGTTTTGAATAATAATTATGGCCGTAAATAAGAAAGCCTTTTGTGGCCACAGACAAAAAAAATGCAAAAATGTAGATCAATCAATAGTGATATAATTAAATCATCATGCACTTTATAGAATAAAAAGTAGATCAAACTAGTGCCTTTAAAATTATACGAGAACCCGCACAAAAAGACTCATATTTCTTTGTCCACATACCGTCTATTATCCGTAGCTAGAACGTTAATAAGATAAAAGTTAACTAGTCCACGCCGCCACACACCTCTGTACACCCCTAAGATGGTCGCGTTGACCTATTTGTTCGCAAACAAACTGGGGTATTGTGGCTCTGGACGCACGAGAAGTGTCGTAAATATCAATTACCCCACCAAAGGTCCGCCCTGTCGACGAAACAAAATTACAGAAGACAAATTCAGTTCATTAATTACTTCCGCTGTAGAAGCCTTAAAACACTCGACCAGCCTATGAGCGGCGCCGAAATTCCGCACTTCTCGGTCGAAATTCGAGCTAAAAATTGTAGCCCTCTCGGCCGGCAGCTGAAATTGAATCCGAGATTCGCGCCGAATATCGAATTCAAAGGCATGCCGCCGTAATCAGACGCCGCCGGGGGTAAGTAGCTAAGTAAATTGGACGTGAGGGGGTAATAGGACGTCGGGATAACTCTTTATCAGCCTTTAACTCTGTCTTCTGGGTCAATGGACACTAATGGAACGTTACGCGCGACTCTCGGTACGAGTTTCGTTCGCATTACGGTTTTGTTGTGCTCGAGCGAGAATTCCGATAGACATACCCTGTGCTAACAACAGACGGGAACGGAAAGAGTTAGTAGTAATTGTTATTATATTAATGGACCGTATAATTATTACGAGACGGGTATTAAATGCGGAATACATTAAACGGCTCGTGGCACAGCGAGAAACGCATTCGGGACGTTTTAACTTTAAGTCATGATGGGAGCGTAATCCGGATAACTTTGCGCCGCCGTTTAATGGAGATTACATGAGAGTAATGGCCGATGTAGCTTTCAACGCGGCGAGGCCATGAAATAAAAGAGTCGGCCTACACGCTGCGGCGTACTGCGGTTAGTGCCGTTTAGTTTTCGACCAAACTGGCGCCGACATTACGGCGGAGTTTGTTTCGGGAGTCGTAACGTGGGCCGGTGACGTCGCAAATTACTTTCGGGGAAATCCGCCGTTTCACCGTCCTAATGGGCGCCGAGGCGGGCGGGGACGTCCCTCGGCCGGCCGCAAGCCCCGCGAAACAAAGGGCTGACGTGGTGACGTCACGATGCTAGCACCGCGGCTAATGATTGTTCTGGAAGCCGTTGAAACTTGCGGGCGATCTCATTAATAATAATTAAGGAGACTGGAAAGGCTGTTCACCTCAACGAGGTCGCTATAACAGTAGGTAATACGAGACACGCACATATATCTCACTCACTATACATTTTCTATTTGATTTCTAGAAGTTCCCTGATATATCTCCTAAGTCCAATGCCCATTAACTATGAAATTAATCTGGTGCCACGCGGGAGCTATACCGAAGCCTATGCGTAAAAATTCTAAAATCGGATTATAAATGACGGAGTTGTGAGTTGAGGTGACAAACATAAACAAGTAAATGTTTTTAGTAACGAAAAACAAAACCGACTTGAAATATCTCCGTCTCAATTCATTTTAGTCACGAGTTCTCTAAGTATCACCGAAGCCCAAGATCCAAAATTAAAATGGGACCTCATGGGAAGCACCAGCTTTCAAACAATAAAAGAATCATAAAAATCCGTTCACTTATTCAGTTAAAAAATACAGTCGAATTGAGCACCTCCTCTTTTTTTGAAGTCGGTTAAAAAGCACACAACCGAATTAAAACCTCCTTTTTTGAAGACGGTTAAAACGATCGGCGTATGGACGGGCTAGCCTTCTTCACGGAACTGCTATAAATAAAACTATGTTATTACGATTATGTGGATTGCGTTCCCGTACTATCAGATGAGCTGGTTCTTCGGAAAAGCTAGTGTATAATAAACTTCCGCTGCACTGGAACAACAGTGTGATATCGCGAACAAATAAATTAATGCAAATGAAAATCGGCCGTAATGAATACTTTGTAACCATTTAAAGACGGTTCGAAGAGATATTAATGGGCCCCGGCTCCGCCCGCCAATTTCCTCCAATTGCGCGCACTCTAATGAAATCGTTATAAACACAGTCACCGCATTAATGGCGTAATCGCACGCCCCGTGGGAACCCACACGTGCTCCCATATTTCCTTATAAGCGACGCTATTAAACGAACCGTTGTTTGTCCGTCGATCATTTGAACGGTTATTATCGTCCGGGAGCCTTTTATAGAATAACGATGTTCTATTTTTTTCTGTACGTCGCTTTTGCTTGCTATTCATTAGCTTGCTATAGTTAATGGGGCGGTTAGTAAGTCGCTTGAACACAGACGTTGCCGGGAAATATTTTAAATATATATATAACTGACTAAACAAAACGTGTTTTTAAGATTTTTCACAGATGATAAAAAAAAAATAAGTGTGTAAATGATCGTGAACCGCGGCCGTCTGTTTTGGGGCCGCCCGATTACCGATCTAGCTATTATAACATTTTTTTTTGCGGCGAAATTTACTGTCATATTCGAATGATATTTTTTAATCCCTGAAAATAGGGATAAAAGGACATTTTCTAAAAATGAAACCTAGAAAATAGGGCACATATTAAATTTAAAATCGCTGGAAATTTTCTAAAAATGCAAACCTAGCAGATTTAGATCGATTTTTTCGCCCGGTAAATAAATCTACACTAACGTATTAAATTTCACGAAAATCGCTGGAGCCGTTTCCGACATACCATATCCGACATAAGCATTATTAATATCATTTATTTTGTACAGATGTCTTTAGATATTTTTAATTAACTTTGTGCACGCTTTGTGAAATTTTACATTTATAATATAATAGCAAAATAGTCATCGGTAATTAAATTCAATTTGGAGTGTAACAACTGTAGCAAGTATAAATTCCATCATTACGGCTTTTTTTTTAATGTTACTAAAATTTCAAAAACATTTACCGCTGTCTAGATGCCGCGGGTGAAAACTAATTTGATAATGAAATAGATGAGTCGTTTTTCGTCTTCGTTCATTTTCCCATATTACATCATACGTACGCGTTACAAGACCAGAGAACTGACGATTTCTTTTGTTTCGCCAACAGATGGCACCGCTGCGGCTTGGACGACGGCTCACCGACTTTGCCACATCAAACACATTTATGGTGAGCGAAATTTTAAAAGTTATTCCGGCAACGGACAAAGCAAGTTTCTCCGGCGCCCGGGACAAACTGGACATAGTTTTGTCGTTACTCCAACAGCCATTACACTCGACTTGGTGAAACCTGTTCTGAATTGGCGATGATCGCTTAGATATGTCTACACTGAGAGAGAACGAGGAATTAGCGTTTAAGTAACCGCATTAATTTTGAAAGCCCGAATGACACTATACTCCTGAAATGGGTGTTCTGAATCAGAACATACACATGTACCTTGTGCCCATTTTATAGTTATATATATATATATATATATTAAACCTCCCGGGAAGCGACCTGTACCATAGTCCGAGAAAAGCGTTAAAAAATCCTATTGCAATCCCAACTTTGTCGACGCAGTGGCCCATTAAAATACATAAATGAATATGTGTAGGTACCTAATTTAATTCTAATCGTGACTAACCGAAAATGCACGTTGAAGCCTGAGGTCAGGGACTAAACTTGACATAACCCTCTTGCGTAGGCGTAGGCGAGCACTTAGAAAATAATTTTTTTAATGTCTCCCCTTAGAAAAGGTCTTAGTTATTAGATAGCAAATAACAACTTGTTAACAGTTTACAGTTTCGATTATATCTATGCAGTACGTATAGTATAATCTGCATACACATACCTAACTGTTGCCTTCTTGGCATGTTAAAATATTGTAATCCACAACAAAGAAGTAATTAAGGAGACGCTTCAATCAGCAATAGCTTCTATTGTTAGAAAAAAAAAAAGTACAATTTACAAATGCTACGACTTTCAAAATGCAAAGTTATGAAACTAATAACCGTTAAGGTTAAACTTAACTCGATGCTGTAAAAATATTAAACGAAATGTTTTGTCGTTTTGTTTTCATAATGTTATATTTTATTTATATTATCATCGTTATTCGTAGCAATCTATTCCTCCGTTGTTTTACTTGTATTTATGTTTAAAAGTCATCTGGCTTATTGGTCTCGTCTAAAATTGGCGAGCTCCGTTAGCGGCAGACAAAAAGAAACGATATGGGTAGTCCAGGAATTACGTATAATTTGCATTTAAAATGTCGATTGACCGCTCTCGCTTTATAAATAAATTATTAATGCGTTATAAATAGAAATAGCATTTCGATCCCATTACTTATTAATGCACTCCAGTCACTGGTTTTCGATTTAAACTCCGTTATATTTTTTATATCGCAAACACCTGAATAGTAACCGTTTCATTTAAATTTATCGTTCGGTGGTTTATCGTGGTTCTTCTATTTTCATTGGGCGTTTTTAGTCCTTAAATTTATCAATTCTTTTTTAATTTTATCAATTATCATGCGGTCATTTCAAAACATACTATCTGCTGCACTCAGACACGATAAATAGCGCATATAATATAATAGCTGCTGCCCACGACAACGTCTGCGTAGCGGGGTGGAAATTTAGGGTTGTATGTATTTTTGTATGCTGTATCATAAAAAAATAAAAACAAAAATTTTTGGTGTGGACCACCCTTAACATTTAGGGGATGAAAAATAGATGTTGTCCGATTCTCCACCCTGGCCGATACGCACACAAAATTTCACGAAAATCGGTCGAGCCGTTTCGGAGGAGTTCAATTACAAACACCCTGACACGAGAATGTTATATGTTAGATTAAATTCATTCCTTAACTAAACCTAATGTACGTGACTAATTGGATGGTACTTAGATATCAATTGTAGTCTCTGCTTGTGGCTATAAGAAATTTAACATCTCGAGCGAACGCGATAAGTAGTGATAGAAGCGCGCGCTAACGCGTTTTCCTCCGAGCGTCATTCGGTTTTTGAATCACGATTCATCGATACGTTCCATAACCTCACTAATAACCGGTACTACACATAAACATAATCGGATGCGGCATCCGTCGATGCCGAACGCTGGCTGCACCTGAATCGTCCTCGTGTTTACGCGCGGACAGCAATTATCGGCCAACTGGTTGCGGCGCGTTGCCGCGCGGACGCGTCTAGGTACCGAATCTGCATAATTCCGCTCATTTGTCGGACGCTTGTCGGCGACAAATGAAGCGCGCGGCAATCGCAGGGCTGGCACATTTTCGTTTATTCGGACAAAGGCATCGAATCAACGTTATGTAGTTGCGGTGTATATAGTATATATATATATATACATCGACCGCAGTACATTGATTCGAACTATGTATACATATGCCTTAGACATTTATATTCGAAGAGAGTAACTTTTTATTATTTCTAATCGCAAATTGTTAATTGAATCTAATATATAAAATTCTCGTGTTACGGTGTTTGTGATTGAACTCCTCCGATACGGCTCGACTGATTTTCGTGAACTTTTATGTGCATATCGGCCAGGGTGAGGAATCGGACAAAATCTATTTTTCATCTCCCTAAATGTTAAGGCCGGTCCACCCCAAACATTTTTTTCAACCCTACAAATAATTTATATGGCAAAACAACGTTTGCCCTGTCATATTGTTTATTTTATAAACATGTGATGTTACTAATGATGTTTTTCATTCATCTAACCGAACTCTGACAAAATATTAACTATTATGTAACTTTAAAGTGTAGCGCTGAACTATTTCAATCTTACATTTCTACGTTAAATAATATTATGTATTGCACTACAAAAGATGTAGTTTGTAACCTTGACGACCCCGTTGGCATAGTGCATAGTGAACCTGTCACTTGCGCCAGAGGCTTTGGGTTCAAACCCCACCTGGAAAAATATTGTGTGTTGAAAAAAAGATACGTACATACGTTTTAGACAACTGATAAACTGATACTAAAACATTTTAGTATCAGTTTATCAGTTGTCTAAAACTCTTAGAACAAGTTTGGGACTAGATAACGATGTCCTGAAATAGTTATTTAATAAGAACTTGTTTAAACTTAAAAGGTAAAGATGACATCTACGTAAATAACCATTTTTTTACTAACGAAAAACAAAACCGACTTGAAATATCTCGCTCTGTATTCATTTTATAATTGATTTTCAGGAGTTCCCTAAAAAACTCCGTTGCCCAAGATCCAATACCAATGAAATTAATATGGGACAACAAGGAAAGCGAATCAGCTTTCAAATAAAAAAAGAATCATCAAAATCTATTCACTCAGACAAAATTTATGAGGTGACAAACATAAAAATATACAGTCGAATTGAAAACCTCCTCCTTTTAAAGTCGGTTAAAAACATAACAACCATTAGGATAGAGTCATCTCTTTTGTTATTAATTCTAGAGTTATGTTTAATTCTTCTTACAATGTTGAAACCCGCAAATAGCTAACAGTTTTAATACCATTTGGCTGATTGAGCTTACTGAGACCCAGTAACTTTAAAAACAACACATCTTCCGGTAGAGACAAAGATAATATTAATGATTACCTATTACATCAATATTTTGATATCAAGAGAAATTTTGAAACACACTACTCGGCTTGGGTCAAAACAACAAATTCTACATTACAACTGCGTAAATTGCGTCACTCTTTGCGTAAATTATGTCACTATATTCATAGTCAACGGCATACCAAGATTTTCATTCTAGTCAGCTCACACTATGTCTTGGGCCCAGAACATATGTGGGAGGTCGTTACTACGTTGAATAGTTGACCCCGTATAGGCCGTAAATTGGCTCGTAGGCCGGCAACCGACGTGCGAACATATTGCTCGTAACACCAACATGTCGCTACACCGTGAGGCTTACCTGGAAACAATTTCTTATGTTAACCTTCACACTAAGTTTATTTATTTGTTTAAACTTTGTGAACCAACATACTAAGAACAAAGGCGCGCTCACTTTTAGGCCAATTTAACTCAAAGTGGTGAAGTAGTTTTTTTGTTTTTCTTTAAAAAAACATTGCCCTTACTTTAGGATAACATAATCCTACGTTGTAAGGACGTTTTGCAAACATATATTTCACGTGGATATACACCCAGATGCGAAACAACCATCTGTGGGTCACACAAATAGTGGGTCCCATGTGGGAAGCGAACCCACGACCCCCGACGCCGAAGTCAATACCTTGGCGACTGCGCCACGGAGTCCTCTGAAGTGACACTTAAAGTGAATGGACGTATACCTCCCAGATCTTCTTAGCCATTATCACTATCACCGATTTCGGTTTTCTAATGAGATGACTCCTTGACATTCTTTGACATGCAATATACATACACTGATATAATTACTTAGAGACTGTACAATTTATCGTATAAATACTGAATTATTTTTTAATCATCATCATCATCCCCCTGCCCATATCCCACCTAGGTGGGGTCGGCACAGAATGTGAATCATGTTTGTAAATGGTTTTGGCTAGGTTTTTTGCGCCTACCAGACGTATACCCTCCTTGGGAAAAAACACCCAGATCCGTAAGAATTATCTGTGGGGTACACAAATACTTGTCCCGTGTGGGAATAAAACTCACGACCACCAACACCGAAACCAATAGCTTAGTAACTGCTTCACCGACTCACCCCCAGTGGTAGAATTATCTTAGTTAATATTTCGTCAGAGTTTGGTTAGATGAAAAACAAATGTGATTAGTAACATCAAATACACAAGTAACACATTGTTTATAATCAATAACAATTGTTTATAAATCAAGTTAGCTTGATTTTTAAGCATGTACCTATATTATTTGAAATAGAAATAATAAACAGTTACTCTCTTCGAATATAACTGTCTAAGCCATATTGACAAAGTGATAATGAAGTCTGTAATTACAGAGAAAAAGAAAAACAAGTTCTGGACGGACGATAATTATAAATCTGTTTCCCTATTATTTCTTTTTTTTATGTGAAAAGTTGCCAAACGAGCAGACAGTTCACCTGATGTTAAGTGAATACCGCCACCCATGGACATCTGCTACACCCGAGGGTTTGCAGATGCGTTGACAACCTTTTTGAAAATTGGGCTCCGGCTACCTCACTGACCGGACGAAACGCGAAAGTATTTAACTTCCACTTTACGCCGGTCT